GTGTTTTGTGTTTTTTTGTTTTTTTTTTTTTTTTTTTTTTTTTGTCAGTTCTTTAGAGGTTTGTCAGCGTTACTGGTCTTTACTAAGAATCAACTGTTTCATTGTTTTTCTCTGTTGTATTTCTGTTGTCAATTCCATTGACTAAATGATTTCCTACCTTCTGTTCCATTTTGGTTTAATTTGTTCTTTTTCTGGATTTTGAGGTGGGAGCTTAGATTATTAATCTAACCTTTTCTCTTTTCCAATTAATCTGTTTAATGAATTTCTCTTAGGGCTGCTTTATTCACAGATTTTGGTGTTTTATTTTTTATTTACAATATAGTTCATTGTACCTTTTTAAAAATTTGCCTTTGGACTTTCTTTGTGACTCCTGATTATTAAAAAGTCTGTCTTTAGGGAATTTTAAGTTGCTGTAGTTTGTGTTAAGGCTTAGGATGTATTCCTCGCAGTGTGTCCGCGGGTACTCAGGAGGAATGTGTCCTGCTGTTGGGCGCTGGGTGTTCTGTAAGTGTAAGTTAGCGCTTGCTGGCCGGTGTGCTGTTGGACTCTTCTATAACGCATCCTTCTGGAGTTTCCAAATGGTTGTTCTCTGTCATTTTTGAAAGGGTAGTGAAGTCATTTAAGTGTAATTGTGGATTTATCCGTTTGTCCTTTCAGTTTTATCAATTTTTGCTCAATTTAGCAGCTCTGTTGTTTACGCATATTTGGGATTGCTCAATTTTCTCGGTGAAATGACCTTTTTAGCATTATCTAATATCCTGGTAGTGTCTCTGGCAATTTTCTTCATTCCAAAGTCTTATACTTTGTCAGCTATTCTCATTATACTTACTTTATGTTTGTGTATGTATATAAGCGTGATGTGTGTGTTTTTTTGCTTCCTGTGTCATAGTATTTGAAGTCAGTTTTTTGTAGACAGCGTGCAGTTGGGTCATGCTTGAGCCACTGTACCTGTCTTTGAAATGTGCATTTCATTTTGTGTTTAATATAATTACTGATGCGTTAAGGTCTAAATCTGCCATTTTAATGTTTGTTTCTGGTTCTCTCTACTTGTTGTTTCTCTATTTTCTTTATCCTGCCTTTTTGTAGGATAACTGAACATATTTTAGAATTACTTATTTATGTTCTTGAATATTTTTCTTTGTAAACCTTTTTTAGTTATTGTTCTAAGTGTTATATGTATATTATTAGTGGTGGTGTCATTTTACCAAAGTATAGAACCTTTATCTTTCTATACATCACTTTAGTCTCATTTGTATTATAATTGTTTAATTATTTCCTGCACATACATTGAGAACCACATTGTAAATTTTGTTTTACGGGCTTTTGTATTTTGTTTGTCATTTTCTTTCATTCTTGCTAATAGCAAATTCTTAGTTTTCCTTCAGCTGGGAATGTCTTTACTTCTGCTTCATCCCTGAAGGATAGATCGTGCTAGTTACAAGATTGTTGATTGACATTTCTTTCCTTTCCGCATTTGAGATATGCTTGACACTTTCCTGGGGCAATCTGCTGTCACTCCAATTGTTTCCCCTGTATATATGGTGCAGTTTCTTTTCGGCTGCCCCAAGGATTTCTCCTTGCCCTTCGTGTGCGGAAGTTTGATGTCTTGCATTGTAGCATCTGCTTGCTGAGGTTTGCGCAGCTGCCTCAGTCAGTAGGTTCGGAAGCCGCTTGCTGAGGTTGCTGAGCACCTTTATTGCCTCCCTCTTCGGCCTCTCCTCCTGGGACTCCTGTGAGGCCAGTGTTAGATCCTGCATGCTAGTTTCTCCTGCCTGTGCTCTGTGTGACAGTGAGCGGTCTCTGTTGTTTGCTCTGCCTGCCACCACTGCCCCCCGCCCCATTCTGCTGCTGAGCCTGCTCGGAAATTCCGTTAATTGGTCATTGTCTCTCCAGAGGATTCTTTGCATCTTGTATTCCTCTCTGAAGCTCTCTGATACTTTACTTGTTTGGAACATGTTTGTAATTACTCATCAAAGCGTTTCTATCATGGCTGTTCTAAAATTGTCCTGAGGTGACTTGGATGTCTCTGTCATCTTCGTATTGTTATTAGCTGTTTTTTCCTTCTGTTTGAAACGTTCTGATTCTTGGTATAGAGATGGTTGACTGCAACTTGGATATTTTCTTCTTATGCTGTTATCGCCTCTATCTTGTTAAACTGTCTGTGGTAACTGGCTCTCTCTGGCACTGCTCCAACCACAGGAGGGCTGGGGAGACTGCTGCCTCGGCACTGCCGAAGGGAAGAACAGTGCAGGGTCCCTCCCACCCCAGCCTCCATTATACCCAAGGTGGGGTATCCTCGTCGCTTCTGGCTGATGGTTCTAGTCCTGACTTTCGAGGCCTCCTCTGATGGTGTCCAGATGGAGATGCTCATGGGCCCCGTTATTGCCAGGTGTAAGCTCGGGCTCTCCAGCTGATCCCTACTGACACACAGTGGGGAGCAGGGGTCCATTTGTATCAGCAGGCAAGAACCAAGTCTCGGCTCCCTCCTCGGCTTTCTCTGTCACCACCATGGAAGGTGTCGGGTGGCCCTGTTACAGCCTCTCTGCTGGTGTGGATGGAACTGGAGCCACCTTTTTCCTGTGGTGCTCAGTGACAATGGAATTTTCCAGAGGTTTCTGTCTCCCTTGGTTGCCAGTATTGGTTCTCTTGCCAGAGTAATGGCAGAGTAATGTGTCAGTCAGACCAGGGTGCCACTTAGGGTGAGGTGTGCCAATATTTTGGTATTTCTTAGAAAGAGAAAACTATGTGCATAAATTGATAAGCCATCCACAGCAAGATGCTTGATGCTTTCAGAGAGGTTGAAACATGGCTGACCTGTGCTTCTCTGAGGGGTTAAATGTGGCATTTGTGCAGAAAGAACCTGCAGAGTGAAGGGTAGAAATGTTCAAGTGCATTTTATTTATTTGCCATGTTCAGATTAACAACTGGAGATGGGTCAGTTTACAGAAGCAAGCCCTCTTTTTCTGAGGATGGTGACAAGGCCCTTTGAACCCCAGTCTAATGGGTCTCTCTTCCTCACAGAGATAGAGCAGCTTGCTTTGCTATTCAGAAAGGATTACAGGCATCACGCAGTGACATTAAGATATTTAATCATAATGACATGGCTGACCTGGAGCGACTGCTAAAAGAACAAGAGATCGAAGATCAAAAGGTATGATTCTTTTGAAGAAAATTATATAGCACTCGTGTACTTTCTAACCAGCTAAATTATATATGAAATGGTAATTTGTCATTGAAAACTGCCTGCAGATCACATTTGGATATTAAGTAAGGGTGTTCCTGCTTATTAAATGTGCTTCATGCTGGAGAGCCAAATCTGATGATAGTTGCCTTATCATCGCCATAATTACGTTGAGCAAATTTGGGGAGAAGTAATCCAGGAAGCTTTTTAAGCAGGAGGTGGGGAAGAGGACAGTGAGGAAGCTTTTTAAGCAGGAGGTGGGGAAGGGGATAGTGAGAAACAGAAAGAGACAACGTGCGTGTGGTGGGTGGGGATGTGTGTTCTCAGGCTACACAGTAGCACCAAAACGCAGTGTGGCCTTGGTCAGAGGAAGAACCTCAGGAACTGAGCCCAGGTGTAGGCGCATGAGAGTAAGCCATGCATTAGACTTGGCCTCTGTGGCCAAGGTGGCTGCTGAGCAAAGGTGCTGAAAGCCACGTGGCCAACTGTGCGCGTTCAGTCCCCAGCCCACCCAGCTGACTGAAACATGCTGGGCACGTGTGCTCCTGTCCAAGATCCAGAGGCGCTAGAGGCCTGGGGGCAGGGGGCCATGGCATGACAAGACCGTGTAAGGGTGCTCCTGCACATTCCTGTCTCTCTCCCTCTGCCTGTCTAGACGTGGGCCCATGTTCGCTATCAGGAATGAAATAGAACAAACTTTTAACCATGAATAAATCATGTATCAAATGCAGGAAAG